GAAAAAGAGACTCTGGGCTGGGGATGTAGCTCAGTGGTACCGCACCTGCCTGGCAAGTTGAAGGTCCTGAGTTTAATCCCTGGTTCTGCAAAAAAGAAAAAAGAAAGAAAAAGAGAAAGAGACTCAATGGAAAAAGAGGCAGGCTAAAGATATGAAAAGAAAATTTGTGGAAAGGAGAAATTGAATAAAGGAAAAGATCTTTAGAAAAAGGGCAAGATTAAACTATGAGCTACAACTAACATCTACTGAGCTTACAACAACTAGGAAATCTGTTAATAAAAGAAAAGGCATGCTGTTCTGTTAATGGTATGAACTTGACAACAATCTATGCAGTCCTAGTAAAATTAGTACGCATGCATGCTGTACTCCAGTAATACTGCTTATGAGCAACTGCCTCAAGATACTCTTGTGATCCCAATAAAGGTTCTACTGAAAAAATAAATACAATCCACAAGAAGGTCAAAAATATATATAAAAATGTTGACTCTTTCATGTCCTTATTTCTAACATCTGCATGTTGTCTCTGTTTTAATCTTTGGTGAAAAGTAGGTAAGACTAAACCAGGATTAGTCCTTTTCATGGCTCAGGTGACTAACAGAGAAAGCAAAGATACACTGAGGGCAATGTTTCAGGGTTGTGAACTGCAACATATGGAAGAGTCCAGGCATTCTTCATGTGACTTGATGAGTTACAATCCATGCCTGTGCTTTTTTTCTGCACTCACCCCAAGTTTCTGTTGCATTGCCAAACTCATACTAAGCTGAATACAGACCGAAGAGTTGTAACAACAGGCATGAAAACCAGAGACAGGTTCAGTATGAACTTCCATGTTGGTTTTTTCCACTGCAGCATGGGGGAACACAACATCCTCCCTCCCACACACTTACCACAACTGTAAAGGTTGAATGGAAAGCCTCTTTCAGCTCCTAGGAAACAATATAAGACTGGTGGTAGTGATGGTGATTTTACAGCTGTTGTCAGAGTCCTGTCAAACACAGGATGGGATATTCACAGAGCACTGTTGGGGAAATGCTCTTAGAAAAAAAATCCCGTTATCCATGACTCAATAACTGCAAAGATTTCAAAGTTGACCAGGAAAAACAAGTAACCCAGAAACAAGATTAGATCCAAACTCAGGACTCTGCACATCACCAATTTAATGTACAAACAAAGAAGAAAAACTTCACCTGGAGGACCAGGGATGCAGCTCAGTGGCACAGAACCTGCCTGGCAAGCGTTAAGGCCATGAATTCAATTCCTGGTACCAAAAACAACAACAACAAAAAAACTGCACCTGGAAATATTTTATAACCTGATGGGAAACATCCTTTATATGTTAAACAGCATTTCATCATTTTAAATCTGGGACAGTTGTTTTATTTTAGCCATAATTTGCAACCTGTCAACCTTGGGATACTGAGAGAGGTCTAAAGGTTCAATCCCTATCTTGTAACAGATATGCACTATTACTTTAAAAATACAGAAGATACTGTGGTCATTAATACAGATCCAGTTGAGTAATATTAAGTAATGTTGTCACAAAAATACATGCATTCATTAGAGACAAAAAGCAAAACTCTAGTCAGATGTCGTGGTACGTATCTGAAATCCCAGCTAATTGGGAGCCTGAAACAGAAGGATTGAGTTCAAGGCCAGCCTGGGCAACTTAAGAGACCCTGTCTCATAATAAAAAAATAAAGAGTTAGGGATATAGCTCAATGGCAGAGTGCTTGCCTAATGTGTGAAGTTTCTGGGTTCAGTCTCCGGTATTCTTCCTCTAAAAAAATTTTTTAAAGTACAGTAAAACTTTAAGATCTTTGAGAATCATTGCTTTCCAATGATAATACAGTAATTTTTACTTTATATATACATGAAAAAAGAAAAGGTTTTGAAAAAAAATTTGTATTTACTTCCATTCCTAATCTTTTCTTGGCCATTAGTTTTTCCTTGGCATTTAACATCAAAGCTAGTTACCCTTTCATTCTGAGCCTCTCTGATAGAAGACCTGGCTACTTTACAAACAAGTGCAACATACCAGTACAGACAGAAATGGTGGTGCATTATGTACTAAGGAAACATATACACATATCATTTGATTCCTCCCTTAGCAAAAAAAGAACATTCATTTTACCCCTTTCCATCCTTTTTTATTTTCTCCTCCCCTGATGTTTAGAACAATATTCTAGAAAGGGAATTACAGATCATTAAATTATTAAAGAGAAAATAAATACCTTATCCAGCATTTCCCCATGAAAATGGACCCAATTTTAATTTATATTCTTCTAAATACAACATTAAAAGTCTTACTAAAGAGGGTCTCAACTTTAAGCACTTCAAGCACTTCCAAAGTAAGAAAATAAGCTTATATCTATTTAGGAAATATTAAAATATGTAAATAATATTACAAAAATATTTACTATATAACTTAAACTTACATAGGTTTGTCCACGCTTTTCAGTATGTTAATTTCTTGGTGGGTTATCCCAAACTGTGTCTGTGTGTGTAGGTATGCATGCTGGCAGTAGTGGTGGGATATGGGGAGAGCCATGTATGTCACTTATTAGTTTATTACCTAGGAAATAAACCATCCTGAGGTAAGCCAGATGTGTCTTTTTGTTAATTCTGCAAAGTTTTCCTAATATGACTCCTCAAAATGTGACCTGCTCACTAAGACCTGACCAAAGATATCTGTAAATTAATATTATACCATTGAGTTTTGGCAGCAGAACACAAATCACATTGATTCAAACACAGCTAAATCTAGTCACAAACACAGAGGGAAGTATAAATTTTAAGCATGGAAAACAAAACAAACAAAACGCTGAGCTCAGGGCCATGCCTGAATGGAGAGGATCGAGAAAGGACCTGAAGACAGGGAAGTCCAAACTTGTCTGTCAGCTCTCCTGGAGCCAATGGCAGAGGCCTATATGAATCAGCACTGCCATCTCTTCCTCAGGTAGCAGCTTTCCAGACTATAAAAGAGCCCAGGACTATAAATCCAAAGACCTGTGCAAGTCCCAACATCTCTGTTTAGTAATAAGGCCATGACATCTTATCAGTCCTAGTTCTCGCTCTCGATAAACTGAGTAAATGAATCCTATTTCATTATACTGTTCAAAGAAGCTACTAATTTTAAACAAGATACAAAGTATATATATTCTATAAATAGAAAATGATAAGCTAAAAGTCAGTATTATCATTATTGGGTTAAATTCGACTAAGATGGCAGTAGATACTGTTCCTAAGTAGAGGACAGATTTAGAGGAAACACAAAAATCTACTGTATCTTAGAGCAGAGCGCAGATGCTGAAGAAAGTCCTTAGTTCAGTAGACCAGAGGGCAAGGACTACACCTGGTATAAAAATAAAGCAAGACACTGCTTCTACTGGTAGTAGAATTCAAAGAATCTGTCCTGGGGGAAAGTTTAGCTCAATGGTAGAGAGCTTGCCTAACAGTAAGGTCTTGGGTTCCATCTCAGTACTGAGGGGAGAAAGAATCTTTCTTCATGATTTGACACTTTTCATCTTGTGATATATCTGTCAAGAGGCATAATCTTTAATCTCACAATTAAATTCAAACTTAAGTCCATGTCTGTTTGTCTAAAGAAAAAATAAATTGCTCAGTTCTTATAGTATACCTTGACTGCTTATTTGCTAATATAATTATACCAATTACTGATATTACCATAATGCTCAAAGCAGCTACATTCTAAGAGACTACAGTTCTGAAGGACTCTGGAACAATGGGATCTTATAATTTAAATTATTTCCATACTGTTGTGGCAGGAAAAAAGGAGAAGATGGTACAAGTATCAGCCTACTTCAGTACTAAAGATGTTCCTTTCAAAGCAAAATTAATTATGCAGTAAATACATTCATTATAAATTTTTTAGCGTTAAAATATAGTCATCATCCATCATGAAATTTAAATTAAATGAAGTAAAGGAGCAGAGCACATGAAGTATTGTGATCATGCACTTTCCTCTGTGACACATAACTTGCTCATATCACTTCTTACAAAACAGTGAGACGCTACTTTCATATTGTTCAAACATTTAATTTGTCAATAAACAGATTCTTCTGAACCATTCCATTTCCTTTGTGTCCCTGCCCAAGAACGATGTTTCTTCACCTTAGATAAATATTGAAGAAGTAAAATAAGGCCTTCACTAGGGCAGAAGTAGTTGGAAGAAAAGACCAGCCAGGGAAATGAAAAAGCAAAAAGTCTGTAGCATTAACCAATCCTTGTCCTAGAGTTTCCTTCTCCTGTGACCACTGGAGCAAGATATACATATGAAATTATACTCTTACCTGGTGAATTTGAGAAAAGTCATTCTCAATTTTACTTTGGTGACAGATGGAATTTTATAAAGACGTCTGGTTCATACTTTTAAAGCATCGTCTGTCTCAGCATAGAGGAAATCACAGAGGAGTTAACAAGCCAGACACCAGACTAAACACCTCAGAACGCACCGCTGTCCCTCATTTCTGGTGCCTACCTTTCTGGTGTAGTTTTGTGTCTGCATCACTAATTCCCTCAGTTTGTGCTGGCCTGGCTCTTCCAAAATAGAAAGCAGGGAATCGGTATCCTTAATGTTACAGACTGGAAACTAAGATTCTTCTTTCCACCTTACATGTTACCCATACAGGTCTCACTCTCTTCCTCCACCCCTACGTCCCCAGTGTCACCCTCACACCAACCTCAGTAATACTCAGTTGTTTCAGGCCTTCCAGAACATCTACGTGGACAACCCCCGGCCAGAGAGGAACAAAGAGCGGCTGCTCTAGGCAGCAGAGAGGGTGGTGAGGACAGCTAGAGACTCCTGAAGGACACGCGCTGGCCGGAGCTTCCCGCTCATGCCTGACACACCTGGGCGGCAGTGGCGGTAACAGTCTGGCAGAGCCCCTGGGGGAGCCGGCCGGCAAGGCTGGCGACCTACAACACCCACGCGGCACAGTGGCAAAGCACAGCCCGTATGTCCGCACCCACCCCGCGTGCACCTGGACCCGGCGGCCACCCTGCTCCGTCAGGGCGCTCTCGGGGACTGGGCTTCGGGCGGGCTCCGGAGGCTGGGACCGCGGCGCGAGACTTCACTCCTCCATCCTGGGACCCCGGCCGTGCACTTCCTGTTTGAAAGCACAGGGGAAAGGAAAGCAGTTGCAGTTTGAGCCGGTAGCGGGAGGCGCGCAGGGGAGGCCGCGGCTCACAGAACCCTGGGGGGCCCGCGACCCACCCGCCACCCGGTTCCTGCCCGCAGCCCGCCTGGTCGGCCTCCCCGGCCGGCCACCTCAAGTCTGCCGTGCACAGCTGCGCGGCCCTTCCGCCCCGGCTGCTGCCCGCTCCTCCTCCAAGCACCTCCATCAGTGCAACCCGCGCTTCCTCCCGGAGGGCGCCCCGCGAGTCTGCCTCTTTCCTTTCCTCATCCCCCCCACTCCAACCCCAGTCCCTGCCCCAGCAAAGAAATCGCCTCCGGGAAGGTGCAGAGACAAGACCAAGCCTTTTCAGGGGAAGTGGAGGCTGGATTTATCCAAATTTTTAAAGTTAATAGCCACATCCCAGTATATCCACTTCAGCCAAGCAGCAGAAAGAGCTTCAGGATGGGAAATTACTTGTCTCGTGCCTCACTGACTCAAAAGAGAAAACATGCATACTGCTGCCACAAACTGAGCTGTCACGAACTGGAGCGGAGAGTAGAAATACAAAAGTATTCTACGTGCCTCCTAGGGTTCCATCCTCAGTGGGCCCAACATTCACCAAATTCCCCATGTCTTTGAACACATTCTTCCAGAAAACGATTCTTTCCCCGTGTTTAAAAGTCTGGGATTACATTCATTTTTTTGAACTCTGACTTAAGTGAACTTCACAATAGTGTTAAAAAAAAAAAAAAAAAAGCAAACATATAGTTCAAGACTGCTACATGTAGGCTCCAGGAATTGTAACCTGGTGCTCTTGCACCCAGAATCTACCAGATTAGGGGCTCTTAGAGGACTGTCTCTGACAAACAGCTCCTTTTATCATCTAAGTTCTGGCCTGAATAAACCATTCTTGTTCCCAAATTCAAAATGAAGGACAAAATATAAAGAATAATTATTCTAAAACGGGTGTGGTTGCAAAAGCTTGTAATCCCAGCACTCCAGGACACTGAGGCAGGAGGATTTTAAGTACAAACATGGCCTGAGCAACTTAGCTAGACCTAGTCTAAAAATAAAAGGCAGTGGATATAGCTCAGCACAAAGGCCCGGGGTTCAATCCTCAGTAATACCTCTAACTCCTCCAAAAATATGAAAAGAAAAAACTATTCTAGATAAAAAGCTAAATTATGTCTGAAATAGTAACTGGCATATATTATGTTCTTACTCAGTGCTAAACAGCGGCTCATTTTAATCTCCCCTTGGTCTTAACATTTTCCAATAGCTCTGTAAAAATCCTATTCCCATATTCCCAAATGAGGAAACAGGGCCAGAGAAGTTAAGTAACTGTCCTGATGTCTCAGTTAGAAAATGGTCAAATGGAGAGTATCTGGGCCATTTCCTTCATGCTTTAAGTTTCTAAAACAATAGTGAATTCTAGGGAAAAAGTTAAGTCTAGCAACCATCTGGGATCCACTCCTTCATCTAAAAATGATCCGACAATTCACAGGCTATATCCCCTTTGAGCTGGCTACGTTCTTCACCCACCTGATTTGTATGTATCTTGATAACTGAAGCCAAGGACACAGCACTCTTTCTGTTACCTATTACTGCCTCCATCAGCCTTTTCAGAATTACTTGATGGCAAAAGTTCAAAAGGTTCTTGGATAGCCACTCATATGCCTAGGTACAAAGTCTGTCCAGTTCAGAATCTAACCAGCTGACTAACATATTTGTTCTCTGAATTCACTTTTCTCGAATACATTTGTTTTAATAAGGCAAATGCTGTTTGCAAAAACAAATGCATGCCCTCAACTTTTAGTAGGAAGGTTGGCAATTTCTCATTTTCTGTTTTCTTCTATCAGACATGGTGGCACATTCCTGTTATCCCAGCACTCAGGAGGCTGAGGCAGGAGAATGGAGAGTTTGAAGCCAGCCTGGGCCATATACAGTACTGTTAGGAGCTATCAGCCACCTGGTATAGCCCAAAAAGCAGAACACAAAGTAAAAGGTGGCAATGGTGAGCCTGAGCAAGACGAAATGCATCTCTCCTGCCTTTCCCATCATTCCACTAGGGCGGCACAAACTACAGTTGTGGAGGACACAGATGAAATTCAAGAGCACTGCCCTGTTGGTATGGAGAGGTGGGCAAAAGGGACACAAGAACAAGTGAGAAGCACTCCTATCCTTCAAGCACTCACAGTCTAACAAGGGCTTCCTAGAATCTTCCTGATGGGTCTTAGCATCCTTTCAGGGCCTGCTTAGTCCACCTGCTTACTTTTCTCAGTCTCTTGTTTATCCTGGACCTATCAACTCTTCATCTCTCTTGATAAACTCTTTTGACATCTCGTTGATTCTCCCCAAAGAACTGCTTTTTCTTTTTCAGCAAGTATCCAATGGGAGGGAAAGCTCAAAGAAGGGCATTTAGCTCTACTCTCACTTAAAAAAATCTTGTCAATAATTACCATGTTCTTAAGGACATATTTCTACTCAAAATACTTCTTGGTATTCCAACTTTCATTTCTGTTATTCATTATAACCCCAAGAGTCCAGAAGGACAACCTCTAAAGAAAAATAAAGGTCTTAGGAAAAGGTGAAGGAAATGCATTTTTTTGTCTTTTGGAACTCATGAGATTGAACTTTCAAAAAAAATTCCTTTAGTTCTTAAATTCAAAGTCATTGAGGTTAAAAACAGCCAAGAGTAAACCATCCCTGTTTTGCCCTAGCACTGTGCTGATCATTTTTATACATGAAGTTTGTACCTGTTTAACAGCCAGCAAAATTCAGACATGCAACTACAGGGAGTGGAGGAACCATATTCACCTATGCCGTGTCCTTACCTGATCTTAATACTCTCCTCTGGAGCACGGCCAACTATAGGCTAAGTGCAACCCCATTTCCCTCTTAGGATCCCTATAACTAAAACACTATAATTAAAACACACATAAAAATATGTATTAAAGGGCTGAATGTGTAGCTCAGTAGTGTGTGCACACACAAGGACATGGGTTCAGTCCCCAGTGATACACGCATGCACTCATTCCGGGCATACATCCCAGAGTTACAATTTGGAAAACACCTCACAGTTTGTGATATGTTTCCTAGCCCCCCACAACCACAAAGCTTAAGCATCATATCATGCTTCCCCAAGGTCTAACTATTCTCCAGCTTCTATGTTTCACAGAGAAGTTGTTTCTTCCTTACCACTGCTGAGTAGGAAAAAAATTTAAATCACAACTTTTATCAGGAGAAAAAAGTATGCTCTTAGGTGGGCTTAAATCATGCCAAAAAAGTTGATCTTGGAAGAATTTGGGGGGGATTTCTTTGAAAGTCTCTACTCCCTAAATACCAAAGTCCATGATACTTGGCAACATTGTCAAAGCCCTTTGAAAGGCTCCAAATTAGTTTCAGGCTAATAAATTTATCTACAAAAACAAGGCTGTTTATCTTTTTCATCTTGAAAGAGAAAGATCTTGAGCCAAGCATGGTGGCACACTAATCCTAGCACTTGGGAGGCAGAGGCAGGAGGATTGCCCTGAGTTGAAAATAGCTTGGAATAGTGAGTTCAAGGCCAGCCTGGACTACATAGCGAGACCACATCTCAAAAGATCAAAAAGAGAAAGATCTTACTTTGGAGGTTAAAAATGTTTGCCACAAGATTTCTCCGTGTGAACATCAGAACTCTGTCATTAATACAGATGGATTTTTAAAGCAGGAAAATGAAAAATGACAAGCTGTCTGGTTACCTAAGAGATGGCCTCTCTGCACTAGCAGCCTTCACAACACAATGTTCTTGTTTCAGCCTTCACTTCCAGGGTAGGTCACATACCAGGATTTTCTGGGATGAAGGTCTCCTGGCCTCAGCAAAACGTGGGCACTGCTTTCAAGGAAGCTCTTCTCAGAGCCAACTGGCTGGGCTGACTGGCATTTCTCCCACAGAGGGTGAGTAGTCATCTTCCAAGAGCCAGAACAAGAGCCATCTCCCATGGCAAACTGTAGCACGAGGCTGCAAATCAGCTTCATAAAACACCTGCCCGCAGCCTCACTTATGCTCTCTGTTAACACAGAGCTTCCTGGTTTTGAGCAAGCTGAGAAGGAAGGAACTATTAAGACTGCCCATTGGCAAGATGTGCAAGACCCAAGTCACAAGGCAATGTGGGTCTGCACTGGTCTCCCAGGCTCAGTGCCTCAACATCCCTGGCTTCCAGAGGCATGTCATGAACCTTGCACTGAATTACTACCCTAATTCCACAGAACAAACTGTCACTTACTCTGCCTCCCTGAATTCTCAGAACTGCCTTTGCAGGGAAGGGCCATATTACACCACAAGACTCAGGGGCTCCCAGATGTTAAGTGATTTTCTCAAAGCAATGGGTAATGGAGCTAAAACTCACCCTGGATCTGTTCTTCTGCTTTTTAATTAAAGAGAGATGAGTGGGTGCATTATGGCTATGGATTTAGTCTGTGCTACATAGCTTTTACTCAGAAAAACCTCACTTTGAAAACTTAGCCTTGTGAAGTTCTCTTTTAAATGCATCATGCTATCTCATCATGTTGTTATGGTTTAGTACAATGTAAAGTATAAACTGTATTTTGCAATGGGCTGATTTTAAATTATAGCAATATAAGTACATATAAATCGGGTTAAATATGCTTTTGGGCTGTAGCATTTTATAAAATAATTAAATAAGAGAGATCCTCTGGTCAAATTGTGATAGACAAAACCTTAATATAATTTGTTCAAGTTTACCCTGTGGTTTTTTCAGTTAATATATGTCAAGTATACCATGTTGGCTGATTTACTGTATTTTGTAGGCATAGTATGAAAAAAGCCGGGTGTGGTGCCACACGCCTGTAATCCCAGCATTATGGGAAGCTGAGGTAGGAGGATCACAAGTCCAAGCCCGGTCTGGGCAACTTAGCAAGGCTCTGTCTCAAAAAATACATACATTGGGCCAGGGATTTAGCTCAGTGGTTCCGCTGCCTGACTCGCAAGT